AGATGGCTGAATCAGAACTGCAACAATTTCAACTTCCATACTAGAGAACTCATATTTTCCAAGACAAACTGGTATTTTATAGGTAACTCAGTGTCATGTTTTCTGCAAACTCAGCAGTAATCACTGATAAAACTGGTATCCTACCATGCTCTTGTTTGATACATCAGCCAAAATGCTCTGTTTGGGTTTTTCTTGCAATCTGTAGAGGCTCATTCCAGATCAGTCTTCAGCTCTCGAATCATGTCACTCCTGCCTTGAGTGTGAGATTAATTTTTATTTCCTCCAATGCAGAAAGCTTGGCTCCCAGCACACACTCATTTATCTGAGCAGCAATTCAACATGCAATTGCAGGCTGCTGGAGTTTTGTTAGTCATGTTTTTAAACAAGAAACTTCAACCTATGTAGAATGCAGAAGAGCATTGTTAATAATCAAACAAACAAGCTCTAAGGAAAATTATAAATGGACACAGATCTGACATAAGAAATGACAATACTAAATAAAAAGTAGTGAAGCAACACTTAATTCTCCCAGGAAACCCTGTATGTGTTCTTATGTGAACAAAGAAACTTCAGAGGGAAACTGCAACCTGAAACTGCTGAATTACAATTCGGCAAGAGATCAAATTCTATGAACTGTAGCTTGAACTGGCTCAAAGGTTGTTTTTTATTTTTATTACTCTACATGTGTAAATTAGCTTATGAATACCAGGATGCCTATTATCAACAACTTTTGCCAGTGAGTATTGTTACTATTGCTACCTGTACTTTTTGCATTTCGTTTTTATCTGACCCAATTATTTACACCCCTACCCCTCCCCCAAAAATACTTTGTGTAAATACCTGTATCTTAGGATAACACTACATGCATCTGTCCATTTCCATAAAAGCCCTTACGGCAATAAATTTGCTAGCTTTCAAAGTGCCACAAGACTCTTTGTTGTTGTTGTTTTGCGTAGCAGACTAACATGGCTACCCCATGGGGGGGGATTAAATTCTGATGGTATCCTAAGTAATATTTTGCATAAGCACTTTCTGTACAGTACATAACCAAATAATATTTTTATTAAAAATATATATACTATAATAAACTAAGTAGAAACTTTTCCTGTGATTAAGCGGAAACATTATCATACCATAAACTCACTAAAGAGTAAATCAACCAAAAAATCACTGGGCAGGAATGTTCTTCATCATTCTTGATCCCAGGGTAGGTTAAAGGTAAAGGTACCCCTGCCCATACGGGCCAGTCTTGACAGACTCTGGGGTTGTGCGCCCATCTCACTCAAAGGGCCGGGGGCCAGCGCTGTCCGGAGACACTTCCGGGTCATGTGGCCAGTGTGACAAAGCTGCATCTGGCGAGCCAGCGCAGTACACGGAACGCCGTTTACCTTCCCACTAGTAAGCAGTCCCTATTTATCTACTTGCACCCAGGGGTGCTTTCGAACTGCTAGGTTGGCAGGCGCTGGGACCGAGCAGCGGGAGCGCACCCCGCCGCGGGGATTCGAACCGCTGACCTTTCGATCGGCAAGCCCTAGGCACTGAGGCTTTTACCCACAGCGCCACCCGCGTCCCATTCCAGGGTAGGTTACAAATGTATAAAAACAATAAATGTTCACAGAATATAATAATACACAACAAGAGCAGATAAAACCAATACTCAAGCCAGTTAAAATTCATTCCTATGGATGGTTCCATTAAAATCTTTAAGGGTTAGGAAAATAAGTTTTGAGCATGCACCAAAAGCCTGCGAACAGCCTGACTTCCAAGGAGAGGGTGTTCCACATTCAAGATCACCACCACTGAAAGAGTTAATTTTCATATTGCTACATAATGCACCAATGCATTATGGACACAGCAGGTTGTAGAAGGATGTGGATCCTTTTCGTTGAACAAAATTTGTGTGCCCGCACAACAGGTTCTTGCTTCTTTGGAGCCCAAATTGATCATGCAATGGTATTAACCAGAGATGGATAGCTCCCTCCCCTGCCCCCTAAGACATTGGTGGCAAATGTACTTGTTAAGTTGTGGGTGAACATATCAGACGACACAGCAATTCTTCAAACAGCTCTTGTTTATTCACAGGCCAGAACAGAACTGAACTGAAGGGTTCAGCCAGCCTGCTTATATAGAGCTCCAGTACAACGTAACTGTAACAACTTTCTGTAACTATCCAATCACTGAACGTCACTTTCGATCCCTTATTTGCATATGTGGACCTGAGTAAAAACTATCTACAGTATCCCCCTGCTGGCCCAGGGTGAGAACTTCAGTACATAGCAGTACTGAAGAAGGGCAAAGACTTTCTGATGATCCTACTATTTATGCACTGTGACTATTGGAAAACCTAATTAAATGAACTAAAGGAGATTGGTGGCTCTTTCTGTCGTCACCTATCCCTTAATCTACTATAGTAGTAAGCACTGTATGGTAAACATTGGGAGTTCGTGTATATCATAATCCAATATGCTCTTGGCAGATTGATTGTGTTGAGCAAGCATTGGCACTGTTCACCGTTAGCCTCAGTTTATCTGCCAAGCCCCTGTATACCAAACAGCATTTCCCATTAACCAAGCAGTTGGCATGATAAATAGTTGCAGTGCCTGATTGCTTAGCCGACTGCTACTTGCTTGCACTCAATTTCTAGCATCCGCAGCAACCTTTTTATTGCTTCACAATTCATTTGTATTGGGGGTTGTAAATCAAATTTGAGATGATGAAGCAGCAAATGTGCTGTGTGTGTGTGGGTTAACGCGCATCAGTTATTTTACAAGCAAAGAATAGGGGTGGCCCTCGTAAGCACTTGGGCAATTTCAAAAGCAAATGAGAGTATTAAATTGATTACATGGAGACAAGGTTATTACTCGGAAATTTGGCTAGAACTCTTTTAGCATAATGAAATAAAACTCTACTAGAATTTGGCAGCAGGGTATAGTAACCAGAACCACAAATAATTGGATATTGACTGAAAGCAGAAATAATGGGTCATTGGTAGAAGTAAACATTTCCTTTAAAGCAGACTTTGCTTGTTTTTGGTCATTTCCTAGTTTGTTCTATTCTGTTTGTCTTGCTTCAAAACAGACTCATTCTCAAATTTGAGGTGTTCACTTTTGATTATTATTGTTTTTGTAAGGTAACTATTCTAACCAAAGTTGCAATATGTGTATTTCTTAACAATCAACACAAAAGCTTTTTACTATTTTCAGCACCTATGCCATGATAGTACCCCCATCCGTAGTAGTTATGGCTGCTTGAGAGACCAGGTTCTCCTTTGTGTCTCCATATAGCTGTGCTGGTTGTGATAGATATATTAAGAAACAGGAATAAGAGTAGTCCTTCATGCCAAGATTTCTAATTTTTTAGTACAGCATGCATCAGTGTTAAGGTTATTCATTTGAAATTCTTGTCTCAATGTCAAACCCAGTTACATGAATGACCTCCTCTGCGTGTCTGTCTGGTAGTCAATTTCTCATGGGATCATATCATCCCTTGTGAACCGCTTTTGCCCCATGGGGGTGCATGTCAAAGTCCAGATTGTCGATTTAAAATGCTTGTGTGTCATAGTTTGTTGGCATCCATCTGCACGTCATAACTTTAGCATTAATTGGCAGCGGAGAGGGTGGATTTAAAATAGCATTTTCACCTAGCCGTGTTTTTGTGTCACCAACCTTGTACAAAAATTGCTGTATATTACCTAATGTGCATTTCCCCCCATATATTTAGACACATTTAAATAGCATTTTTCATGTTTATTTTAATAAATCCTCTGAATGGAAGTATAGGGAACCTTATCATTTAACATTGCAGGCTTTCTTAACAGTTCGCTTTCCCTGCCTTCCCATGAAAGTTGATTATGTTCAAAGAAAGCTTTGTCAGTTTCACAGATACCAGGAAGACCTCAGCCATCTACTCCTTTTCTCTGCTACCATTTTCCCACCCAAAAGGGCATGCATGTTTACCTGTATAGTGAGGTAGACTAGAAGGATTCACCTGTATCCAGTGTAGTGAGAGTGCAGAACAGAATGGCTAGCATTTTTTAACAGGTTGGTCAAAGAGTGTCTTCTTATATGCTAGCTGAAGATGTGTAGTGGCATTATGGAACTCTTAACAGGATAACCTGTGAATTGTGTTTGTGTGCATTGCATGAAATAGGGAATCTTCATCAGTAGTGATTAGAGAGCACTTTCAAAATTGCACATATGGTTTTTGGCCTTCCACTTCTGCAGTCCCAACAAGTTCAGCAGCATTTTGCTGTAGTGCAGTTTGGTTGCTGATGTTTGAAACACCACGAGAGGAAAAGCTTGCAGAGATTTGGAATAGTAAATGTTGGTGGGGATAATGTTAGGCATCTGCCTTTCTCCTGCCTATATATATCACTCAAAATGAGTTGGCACCAAAGCTGCTTTTCATAAGAAAAACCAACTGCTGGGAGCTGAAATTCATGGCTTGTTTATGCAAGTTTATTTCAAATTTTTAGCCTAGTTTGGCTCAGGTATTTCTTTTTAAAGCACATATAATTTTTCACTACAGGGTCTTGCACAGTGTTTTCTGCATGCTTTGGAATTTGTTATTAACACCATTTTTCTCCTGAATTTAAATCTCTTATATTCCTATTTAAGAATTGTGTGTTTTCTGTGCCATTTTGTCAGTGGTAATAACTTTGCACATCCCAGTCAGGGAACTGTTCCCACTTCTTTTAGATTACTTTTCAGGAGTCTTCACAGCCTCGTGGGCAAAAGTCATTTAAGAGCTTTTCATCTTTAGAGTTTGTAGTATTGTTGTTGACAACAATATAATTGAATCCTTGCCTGTGCCTATGCCTGTGCATTGTATATATTACCTAAAATCTGGACGGACTTGGGTCTAAACTGGAGATATTCAATAAATATCTTGTATTTTTCTCCCAGTGGGCTCTTTGTAAGGAAACTTAGGTATGAGAAGCAGCCCTTACATTGAATGTATTCAGCTGAGAACTCTTGACATCTAATCAATCTTCTTTACAGATGCTTTGCCTGAGACAAACTGGAAATCTAAGACATCACAGAAGAGCACTTTATAGCACACTAGTGCCATCTGATGGTAAGCTTTCTTATCAGTTACTGTTCTCATATCAAGTGATGACACCATTCAGTGTCTGGGTGCATGCATATCCAAGAATTTCTCTGTTTTTATTCTGGACAATTGAAAGTCTTCAAATTTTTAGGTCAACATATATCCCTCCAGTGCTTCGGACTTCTTAGTATTTTGCCCACCCCACCCCAAATCATATAATAGTATATCCTCCTTGTGTGTCATGAGATGCTCATGTATTTTGAACTCCTAGGAATAGTGAATGGTGCTGCATTTGGAGATCTTGGCGCAGGTGTGGCAAAGATCAGTAGTGTTGGGGCTTGATAGTTAACAGGTCTCACAGGTTCTTTAAATCCCGGGTATCTTTGGAGCCCATTGCACCCCAAGCAGAAGCACTAAATTCTGCATGAATTCTGGCAGGGTGGTGCAGGATTTCAGTAGCATATCCCTCCTTTAAACTCTGTACGGCCTATACTGCAGAGAGGGCCTTTCCTTCAACCACTTTCAGTTCTTCATATCCTGTAATGCAGATATACAGGATTCTGGAGTGAGGCCTTCTATCATATCATATACACTTAGTAGCTACCCATTACACTTTTGGACCTTCTATTTAATATGTATGTATTTGTTTGGTATTTATCACATCCTTTCTTCAAGATCTTCAGTGCAGAGTATATGTGGCAGCATATAGTAAGATGTGTCATGTCTTTGTTTTCCCCAAGCTTTTCAACATGTGCTTGTAAGTTACTCTGTTGTCATCATTTTTTAAAAAAAAAATTTTGAGTGATAAATCAATTAAAATGCCCTTTTCTCCCCCAGAAGTAACTGTACATTATAAACATGGATTGCCTGCGATAACTCTGACATTACCCTCGAGAAAGGAACGCTGCCAGTTTACAGTCAAGCCGATGCTGATGACTGTGGGAGCCTTCTTGCAGGACATACAGAGAGAGGATAATGCCATTGAAAAGGTAGAAGTCTTCACAGCAGGTACTAACACCACTATCACCTTGAAAGTAAAGGACATTCTGTTCCAGCTCCTTTACATGCAAAGCAGACTTTGACTTTTGGAATTTTTTGTTAACTGTACTACTTTGGGGGTGTAGAGGTTTCCCCTTCAATGAGATGTCTAGCACAAGAGTGGGCAGAAAGTAAACTGGTAGATCTCTGTGGCTGATCTCCAGTAGTTCCGTAAAGATTTCTGATGCTCAGTTGCTTAACAATTTTTGTTGTTTAGTCGTTTAGTCGTGTCCGACTCTTCGTTGACCCCATGGACCAGAGCACGCCAGGCACTCCTGACTTCCACTGCCTCCCACAGTTTGTCAAACTCATGTTGGTAGCTTTGAGAACACTGTCCAACCATCTCGTCCTCTGTTGCCTTCTTCTCTTTGTGCCCTCAATCTTTCCCAACATCAGGGTCTTTTCCAGGGAGTCTTCTCTTCTCATGAGGTGGCCAAAGTATTGGAGCCTCAGCTTCACGATCTGTCCTTCCAGTGAGCACCCAGGGCTGATTTCCTTAAGAATGGATAGGTTTGATCTGCTTGCAGTCCATGGGACTCTCAAGAGTCTCCTCCAGCACCATAATTCAAAAGCATCAATTCTTCGGCGGTCAGCCTTCTTTATGGTCCAGCTCTCACTTCCATACATCACTAGTGGGAAAACAATAGCTTTAACTATATGGACCTTTGTTGGAAAGATGATGTCTCTGCTTTTTAAGATGCTGTCTAGGTTTGTCATTGCTTTTCTCCCAAGAAGCAGGCGTCTTTTAATTTTGTGACTGCTGTCACCATCTGCAGTGATCATGGAACCCAAGAAAGTAAAATCTCTCACTGCCTCCATTACTTCCCCTTCTATTTGCCAGGAGGTGATGGGACCAGTGGCGATGATGTTTTTTTGATGTTGAGCTTCAGACCATATTTTGCACTCTCCTCTTTCACCCTCATTAAAAGGTTCTTTTATTCCTCCTCACTTTCTGCCATCTGCATATCTGAGGTTGTTGATGTTTCTTCCGGCAATCTTAATTCCGGCTTGGGATTCATCCAGTCCAGCCTTTCGCGTGATGAATTCTGCATATAAGTTAAATAAGCAGGGAGACAATATACAATCTTGTCTTACTCCTTTCCCAATTTTGAACCAATCAATTGTTCCATATCCAGTTCTAACTGTAGCTTATTGTCCCACATAGAGATTTCTCAGGAGACAGATGCTGTTGCTTAACAATAGCAACAGCAAAATGTCTTTTCCCACCTATATTAGGCTTCTGGGATTAAGATAAACTAGGCAGGAGTGGACCTCTGTTTGAAAGGAAGAATTTGAGTTCAGTTCAGTTCTTGGACTGAAAAGAAATTGTGAGGCTCAGAATTTGCTCAAAGGCCCCCTGGTGTTTAATTCTGACTCTTAATGTCTTTTGCACCTGGCTCTGATTGGTACATCTTGAGGTTCCAGGGGGGGAAATGGAAGCTCGAACAAGGCTGAAGTCTGAACAATCTTGGGCTAGCAATAAGCAGGACTAGCATCAGGGATTGGCATTGTTGGGCTCCTGCCAACATCTCAACAGAGGATGTGATTTCATCTCCAGAAAACAAATCATAGTTAGTTCGTTTGGGCTGTGTTGAGACATTAAAAAACCCCACACATTGGCTAAACAAACCATCACTTGGTGTTATGTGCAAACCAGGCAAGGTGTTGATGGTTGACTTTTATCTCTTTTAATGGTGTCACTAATTGAAGCCTCTTCATTTTTTGGATAGGTATTACTAACTTTTTAAATGAATGAATATAGCCAATCATACTAGTAGTTCTATTACAATTACTCATTTTTTTAAAAGTTGTCATAGATGTAACCAAATGGGAGAGAATTCTTGGCTTGCTGGCTGGAATCATAGAACTGAAAACCTTATTATGCTGATGGTCAGATCAATAGCATAGTTTAGTAATATCCTTGTCAGCAATCTATAACTGAAGCGATTATCAGACTTCTGATGTTATCATTCCCAAAACATTTGCAGGGTTTCTATTCTGCATCTTTGCATAAGCTGAGATAACTACCAACCAGACTTCACTTTATGCAACATTAAATAGAAAATTATCTTGCAGACGACAGTTACAGTTAAGAAGTGTACTAGAGAGACTCCTGTACAGTATTTGTTCTCCTCTATCTTTTAATCTCTAGGGCGATGTGAATTTAACATTGCAATAAGTACAAAAGATTCTGTGTGCAGTGCTTTCAGAGAAATATTTCCTTTTAAAGATACCACCCCACCTGGATTTTTTCCCCAAAAATAATGTTTATATGAGAATACTGAATCTCACTTGCACTTAACATTTCTTAAATCGGCATTTTTGTGTTGTTGCATTTTTTATTTATTTGTAGAATGCCTGGTAGCCGACCCATAAAAGTTAATAGCAAAACAAAGCGGCGAGAATAATATTTCATATAAATATTTAATGTCCCCCCCTTCCCTCCTTTGATAAATGATACTGGGCCAGATTGCATCCCCAAAAGAGCGGGTGGAGAAGAAAGCTGCTGTACTTGGTTCATCGCTACTGTAATCAGAAGCCCAGCATGAGCCCAGATGACAGAATTCCAGTCAGGATATGCCAGTATGCCTTTGCTAACAGCACATTACTTTGAGTCAGAGATAACACAGAGAAGCAGGCCAAGTTCCAAGCTAGTAATAATATGTTTTATCAGAGCCTCTTGTTGTGCTAGTTTTAAAGAAACATTAGTGCACTGACGTTGCACCTTTTGGATGAATGACCAGCTCAGTGCTAGAACACATGCTTTGAATGTAGAAGGTCCCCCAGTTCCATCTGGCATCTCTGGTAGGGTCCTTCACTATGCTCTTTTCAGCACCTGCTTTAAAACATCTTTATTTTAGGCCATCCAGACATGTAGAAGTTACAAGCCGAAAGGTTTTAATATATCTGCTTTTATCAATAAAGTTTAATGTTTTATTTTATATTCTTTAAACTGCTCGGAGGTTTCCTTACAATCAAGGGGTATATCAATATTGTTAAAGAAAATAAATCTCCATTTAAAGCAGTCTGATAGTGGGAAGGATCTATGATGGAAAGCCACTTGCTATAACCTGCAAATGACAGGATGACAGCAAATTATGGTAAACAGCTCTGATGCACAGGTGCACAGGGAGAGGGAAGCAGGGAGAGTGTGCAGGCAATCACTACACTGTTCCTTGGTTTGATAAAACCATAGGAAGCTGACTTATTCTACTGGGTCAAACCATTGATCTATCTATATCAGTATTGTCTATACTTACTGGCAGTGGCTTTCCAGAGTTTCAGGCAGGAGCCTCTTAGCTGTACCTGCCGATGCCAGAGATGGAACCTGGGACCAATGGGAGCCGAAATACGTGCTCTGCCATTGAGGTATAGCTCTTCCCTAACCCTGGCCACATTGGTCAAGAGCCCCAAAGCAAAATGCTGCTCCCAAAAGTATTACATTGGGAAGAAGATAGGCTTTTCTTAGAGTATTAATGCATATGTGGATGGATACAGTGGTTCTAATCTAGATGCGAGCACATAGGTGGTGATTCTTGGCTTACTAACTTTCAGAATCTTTGGACCGAAGTGTAGATCACACTAATGGTGTGCATGGATGCATGGTAGCTTCTCTTGTTTTTTCTAGGTAAATGGCAGGATTGGAAAAGTAGATTTTGGGAAGCAGGGTGTTGTAAACAAAATCTGCCCTTTTCCCCTTATGGGGTATCCAAGAGCCCATACAGAGTCCTAAGGGTTAACCCTTTCTCTCCATGCTATGATTTCAGTGACGATTGCAACCATGTCCCTCCTAGATTAGTCCTGGGAGGAAAGCTTCCATTGCCTTGATGTCATGTCATGTTTTGAGTTTCACTAGACGTGACAAGAAACGGGAAGCGACAAAACATGGGCCTATCATAGAAACAACCTAACTCAGTAATTGTTGGTGCAGTAAACCTTGCCTGTATTGAACTTCATTAACTGTGATCAACACAGTGCTGGTGCTTCGTTACTTAATGAAGCATTTTATTGCTAGTATTGAGGTATTTGCTTTCTCCCTACAGATGGCAGCATGATTTCTTCTTCAACGTTGATGGAGATTCTTTTGATGAATGATTTTAAACTTGTCATCAATGGTGCAGAATACAGTGTTCATCCTCCACTGAAAGGTACACAATTCCATGACCAACATGAAATCATCTGGAGACATATTTAATATATTTAAAATCCATTCCTTCAAAAATAGAAACTTAACTCGTACTGCTTCATGCTTGCTCAGAAGTTAGCCCCATTGAGTTCAATAGGACTTACTCCTAGGTAACTGTTGTGATATATAGGAAGATTGCAACCTTAAATCACAAGTGGTCAAAACTGACACTTTATTCTGTGCTTTAAATGACCAGGATGATAGAGCTGTTCCTTCCTTTTGCAAACCCATAACCTTAATTTAAATTCTGTCTCTTGAAATAAATGGTGCCTATTGAAATGCATGCAGGTGTTCTTGTTCTTGCATAGCCCTGCTTCATTTGCATTATTCTGAGCTTGAATAAGAGGTGAAGTGGGAGAAAAAGAAATAGCAGGAAACGCTTGGCAGCTCAAGGCAGCCTACAGGAGAAAATACAGTGTACCTGCAATTTATGCTCACTTTACAAGGTGTAAACCTTTGTAAAGGGACCCCTGACCATTAGGTCCAGTCGTGACCGACTCTGGGGTTACGGCGCTCATCTCGCTTTATTGGCCGAGGGAGCTGGCATACAGCTTCCAGGTCATGTGGCCAGCATGACTAAGCCGCTTCTGGCAAACCAGAGCAGCGCACAGAAACGCCGTTTACCTTCCCGCTGGAGCGGTACCTATTTATCTACTTGCACTTTGACGTGCTTTCGAACTGCTAGGTTGGCAGGAGTTTACAAGGTGGGGGGAGGGGTAAATAAAGGCGATGTGAAGAGTTGCTTACCAGTCTCTGGGAGCATCCCAGGGGCCTAACATCTCCTTCCCAGAGACCAGTAAACAGCCCTCTGCTCATAGCGCATGGGGTTCCTGACTTTGGTGATTTTGCCTTTGCACAGAGACTCCCAGAATCAAACCCTCATGTAAGTGGCGGGTCCATTGTACCTGCCCATTGGCCATATCCCTGAAAAGGTATGGAATTTCAGGCCTCCCCAAAGCTGCGCTGGTATAGTGGTTCCACTTTCATTCTTCTTTCAGATCAAATGAGCACAGAACATAAACTGGAGATGGATGACATCAAGTCTATGGTCCACAAGTTGTTTACAGCACTTCATTTAGAAGACCACCAGACGAGGAGAGAGAGGGAATTAATGCAAAAAATGGAACTTCTGAAAGAAGAACTGCTGCCTCTGGAGCAGGTCTGGAAAAATAGTTCTTCATACATTTCATATTGTAGAAATCTATTTTGAGCTTAGCAGGTGAAGTCTATGAAATGTGTGGCAGATATTCCCACTTCTGCACCCATTTCTGACTGGTTCCAGAGACACTGGAATAGGCCCGGTACCTGATTTTTGTTACCCCAGTTCAACACAATTTAACTTATCAAAATGGGAATACAAGGCATCTTTCTGTTTTTGTAACGTCTTTCAGAGACAGGTCAGATCTGCATACTGAACTGGTATATTTCTACTCCCCATTCCCTATATTGAACCACTAGGTTTTTGTCTCCTATTATAAAAATAAAACTTTGAATTGGCTCGACTTAATTAATCCACCTTTATAGATAAGTAAAGCAAGTTGTATTCACAACGAAAGCTACTTTTAACATTGCAACTCTCTTAGTATGCTCAGATGTGAGCCAAACACATTTTTGTATAACTTAGGTATTGATGTCTATGTAACTTCTTTCCAGATACACTTTTTAAAAGCAGCAGTAGTTTGTATTTGATGTATTTTAGATGTTTTGCTTTGATGATAGTAAACTATAATATTTGAAAATTAAAATTATTGCAGAAGTTGCAGTGTATGTATTTTAGACATACGACTTAATTTCTTTCATAGATAGTTTGTGAAATGGAGACTCTTTTTCTTTGATAATTGAGAAAGGATAGCAAAAATTATCTCCTTTAAAGCAAAAATTGAGTGTAAATATCCCTTCTTTAAAGCTTCTCTTGGTCTTTCATTTGGGGGGCCCATATCACCTTTTGTTTGCTACCCTTGCAGATTAAAGTAATTATGATTTAATTAGGGTTTCTCAGCTCTGCATCAGTAATGTTATTTTATAAGGTTTTTATGCTATTGATCTTATTTATCTTCTTCTCTGTATTGCTGGCTTAAGTTCTATTAAGTAAATGAAATGTCTCTGCTATACGCCTGAAAACTTCTCCTTGAACACTAGATTTTTCTGTCTGCTAATTCTAAGTCTTCCCCTGAATATCATAGTTGTTAATGAAAAACTGCGAGTATAGGGCTGTATACAAATTTAAATAACAACAACTTAATTGTCAGACTCAACTTCTGCTGCATAGAAATCAGGCTTAGATACATCCTTTGAGCAAAGCAAAATGGTCACACCTGCTTTATCATTAAGAAAGTAGAACAGGCTTGCAGGATCAGACCAAGGTCTACAAAATCCAACATTCTTCTCCAAAAGTGGTTAAATTAGAAGAGTGGTCAAGACCATCTAAAAGACTAAGGAAGAAGGACAGTGCTTACTGCTAAATGGCTCCGTTGCAAACAGTGAATTGTTGTTGGCACCCGTCTGTTTTGGGGGACAATGGAGGAGTGTGCCTTTATGAGTGAAGTCAAACTATTGGAAGGTTGCGGCACCTGTTATGGCTGTAGAGAGTGATGTAGGAGAAACATGTTTTGTCTCCATGGGAAGGGCTGGCTGAAGTCATCATCTGAGACTTCTCTACACTCCACATAGGGAAATATTTTAATTTATTTATTAATGCACTTTTGAATACAAGGTAATCTGTGGGAGTGGGTGGTGCATGCTTGAACAATGTTGTCTCTTCGGTCTTAACATCGGTTCTCTCTTCCTAGCTTAAAGCTGGAATTACTACAGATGTCGATGCTAAGACTTCTCGGCTTCTATGGATTGGCTTAGCCTTAATGTCAACTCAAGGTGGAGCCTTGGCTTGGCTTACCTGGTGGGTCTATTCATGGGATATCATGGAGCCTGTTACTTACTTTATCACCTATGGAACTGCCATGGCATTCTATGCTTACTTTGTGCTTACTAAACAGGTGAGTCTCAGTAAATTTGGAGCTGTAATGTTAGCGGAATCTACATGGTTATCATAGTGAGAGTCTGCAAGTACATATCTGTGAATCTTCTAAAGTATCCTAACAAGGAGGCCTAGCATTTCTTTAGGTTGTAAAATGTCCATAGACCAAGGTTGGCTAACCTGCAGCCCTCCGCTTCATTGGATTCCATGTCCGATTAACTCCAACTGGCATAGCAAATGGACAAGGGATTGTGGGAGTTAGGGTCCTTCAGCTTCTAGAGGGCCACAGATTCTCAGGTGGGCACAAGTGCTCCACCAGGTAGGTGTTGTTATACACCACTCACATGAAGAAGGTGAAAAACTTCACCCATTTGACTGGATGCTGGCTCCTCCCTTTCCTTTGGGGGGCAGTTTGTTTTCTGCCTTCACTTGAACTAGACCTATTTTGGAATAGACTGTCCTATTGTTCTGCTCTCCAAGGGGTTCATATAATTTTGTGGAGGCTGGTCATTGGATCTATAAAGCTTCTATGCCTGGGGCTACATGCCTGAAGGGTCACCTTCTGTCCTTCAACATATCCACAATCAACCAAGAGTACTTGCCTAAATGTGAAATGCATGCATCTCATCCATACCATGTTGAGTGCTCCCCCCCCCCCCCAGTGGCTGATTCACTCTGTCACCTTGGGAGAGTCATTAATGTCTTGGGACTTTGAATCAGTCATCTATAAAGGCTAAAATTTGTTATATGAAAGAGTCACAGTGAGGTGGCTTCACCTTTCAGTCTTCATGTGAAAGTGGCCTTGTAAGAATAATCCTATGTGATAAACAGCACGTTGCCACATGCTGAAAATTACTCAGATTTGTAACGTGCATTTCATTGTGATTTTTTTCTACCTCAAAAGCTATCGTGAAAATGAGCCCTTAACATTTTTTAGATCTTTCTGTTTACTGATTTGATGGAACTAGGAGTCTAGTAGATACTCTGTCTCTCATATGCTACATTGTATGTTTGGTTCTTCTTTTTTTTTACTTTTTTAAAGGGGGAAATGGGCTTGAAATCTGAACTGATTTTTTTTAATATTTTTTTTGGAAAAAGCACTTTATCCACATTTAATGACTGCAGCTGCAGTAAAATGGACAGCTCTGCAATTGTGATCACCTGGTTGAAAATTTCAGAGTACTCCCTTATATTTTGTTTTCTTTCGCAGGATTATATTTACCCAGATGCTCGGGACAGGCAATTTCTCCACTACTTTCACCAGAAATCCAAAAGCCAGAACTTCGATGTGGATCAGTATAACAAATTAAAAGATGATCTTGCAGAGGTTAGTTGCATAACTTGCTTTGAGTCAATATACTTAAATTTTGTCCTGTAACATAAAAGTGGCTCCAAAAATGTTTTGAAATCCCAACATTGGCCCCCACTTCTGCAGCTGGCACATTTCAGGGAGCAACGCTGTAGTCAGTCTCTAAACAACATGCATAGAAAGCATACTCTTGTAGCCGCATACAGGCTTCCTTTTTGAAAAGTGGGTTTAAAATGCATATTGACAGCCACTTGACAGGTGAGGAAGAAAAGTAATAATCTTACTTTGGAGGAAATGGGTACAGCTTCCCTTTCCATCTGCTGCAGCAGCTGTGATTAGTGTCAAGGAGATGTGAAATGGAAAACTCTCCAGCTCCAAAGTAAACAAACCCTTATCTCCCTTGCTGTCTCCAAAAGCTAATGGAATGCTTCCCAGCTACTTCAGTAGGCTTTAAAACAAAAATGAAGAGTGTTGACCCTGCCAGGCCAGCTCTGCTCAAACCTTCCAAGTCCATAGAGAATTGTTTGGATTATAGACCTCAGTGCTATTCCTCGGTGACAATTTACAATGCACCAGCTGCAAAAGAGAAAGCCAAATCATAGGCCTGCCCACCTTCTATATCCCTTCTCACAACTGGTGAGACATTGCCATAGTCACCAGGTGCAGAAGATGACCCTGGCAGAGTGTTGTGATTTGAAGCTGCTGCCAGCGGCTGCTGCTTTCACTGGATTTGCCAGCCAGGAAGAGGACTCTGCCATCCTATATGGCACATTAACTTGCTTATGTGATTGCCAGGAGCTCACTGTCAATATAGCACAACACAGTTACAAAGCCAATAGCTTCCCTTGCTATTCTCAGTGCTTCTTTGTCCAGTGGCCCTGTTGGCACCTTTTCCCTCCCTGTCACTGCCTCTGCTTACCCTTTCAGATTTCAGGCATCCCTGGAAACGTGTTGCAACTCATGGGAGTCCCAGGCTCCAGATCTTTGGGGGTTGACCTGTAGCAATTTGTAAGCTGAGGTACAGGTTTTGTGTTGGAAGACATCCCCATTAAACACTTGACCACTGTTTGATGATTAAATAAATTCTAACACTGGTTGCTAAGTGGAAGAATGCTCATGCTCTTATACTTTAGTATATATACTTACACTAAGTAGATTTGTTTATTGCATTTATATCCTGCACTTTGCCCAAGGGTACTGAAGAAGGGAGTGCCCATAAAAGTCCCTGTTGAAATGTCATGCTGTACGATGACCAAACCAGCTCCCTGATTTTAGTTACTTGAACTATACTTAATTCTAATCAGAGGTGGGAGGGACACACGAACCTGCAGGGTGCTCTTGGTTGTTAAACCATGTAACTAGGCAGTGTGATGTTTGAGATGTATATTCCATTTGTTCCACACAACAATCTGTGAGATGAGTGATCGGCTCATGGTAGACATCTGGATTTGAAATGTGGAAATCAGTCTTTGCCACCATTGTGTCTGCTCAGTGTCACAGAGCTAAGCTTGCACAGGTGGTAAAAGCCTTTTACAATCTGGCCAAAGCAGGGAAAGTGATAGAACCATTGATGTCTGCTGTGAGCAGCATGCAGACCTTTTGCAGCTAAAATGTCCTTGCATCAGTTCTGATTTGGATTCCAGTTTTTGAAATGAGATCAGAGAAATGGACAGACTCCTTGAAGAAATGAAACCAACTGCATATATGCAGCTACACCCTTGCCCTTCTTGTGCCCTTAACGTGGCAAGTTTAGGCATATCCAGTTGGGTCCCAGAGGTAACCAGTGCCTCCCTTCAAAACACTGGGAAGCATTCCCTCTTTTAAAAAGGCTTAAAAATTACCATTGACCCTGGTGAAGCTAATAACTGTCACCATGCATCCAGTCTATTGTATCTTAATCCATGGTTGCTCCTTAGCAACAGGGTTTTTTAAATGACAGTGGTTACTTGGATCAGTTCCCATCTGGTTTTAGAGCAAAGGAGCAAATACTCTGATGCTAAGTGATTTGGCAGTTTTTGCCTTCCACTTTCCTTTAAGAAGAATCTCCACTGCTTTAAAGGTTGGACATGGCTTTGAAGCTGGTCTCCTTATCATCCTTAAAAGCAGGGCAACCCTTTTCATTCCCTTCTGGCCAACCTTCAGATGAGGTGTGGACACGCACATGCCAGTGGTGGTTGATGGTCAGAGCTAGAGGCCAAAGTGGGAAGAACTTTATACCTTTGTGCTGCAGGCTAGTTTCTACATATGCTCTCACATTCCCTCTTTCTTCCAGGCAAGCAGGAGGCACAATCAGAGTTCAAGGATACATTCCAGCCAAGCAAAAGCAGTGTGGCCTAGAATAGAGTCCTGAGGGCCAGATAAACAAGCCTAGAGGGCCACGTTTGGCCTTCAGCTTTAGGTCCCCCACTCCTGCTTAAGATACTAGTCCTCTGCTTGCTCACCAGGCTCTGCAACATAAGCTAGCCTGTTACTTCTTAATGCTATGATGTTTAAAGGAGTGACTACCCCTAAAATTGTCCCAGCGACACCTGCCACTCATTCATTCATATACAAGTGTATTGTGTGCACACACTTGATATTCCTCTTATTACGGCTTACTGCCCTTTGTCCATCGTTTTGAATGGTTGTAGACACAATGTATTTCCTTCCTTGGAATTAAGTGGCAGTTAACTGGGGGAAACAGTTTGGATGTTAAAAGTTTGCCATGACTTACTAATGCAAATGCATGCTGAGATTTAAAAATTCAGGAACCCCATATGTAAATAACCACAGGGCTTCCTGCAACGAGAGCAGATTTCCTCCATGCGATATATAAAGTGTTTCTCTAGAAGCCAACAATTGGAGTACCTTTTATGCTGACAGACGGATGCAGTTAATCTATCCAGTTCCTTAGGCCTAGATGGGGAATCTGTGTCCCTCCAGTTGTTGTCAGACTCCCAACTCAGAGATGGTGTTTCAGTCCAGAAATTACTAGAGCCCACAGGTTTCCCACCTCTGCCTTAGGCTCAAGGTTATATACATGTATACAACTACTAACCTAAGGGCAGAACTATATGTTACAGCAAGCACTCAAGTGCTGGAGGGCAACATGCAGTGAATAACTGGTGGGAGTTAATAAAACCAGTTCCTGGTTTATTCCTCTCTACCTATGCCCCAAGGTTGTTTTTCCTTTAACTAAACAAATTTCTAATCTCAGAGTTAGGGGATGTGGAAAACATTGCAGAGATTTTTGGAAGGAGAGGAAGAGTTGGGCTGCATGAAAAATAAAGGCTTTTCAGTGGAATCTGTGGAATGGTGTCCTGAGGAGATGCACCTGGCTTTGTCCTTGTCAGCATTTAGGCACCTGGCCAAGACCTTTTTTGTTTATTCAGGCCATTGGTAATTAAGTTGCCTCCTAAGGTGGTGCTTCTCGTCGTCCTTATTGGGTGAGCATTTTATGCATTTTGCATTGCTTTTTCTGCTTTTGATTTGCTTTTATCTGTTGTAGTTTCCCTCTGAGGAACCCCTTCTTTGCCTTGTAACGTGACTGAATGCCAACAGCCATCCAGATGGTATTAACTAGGCATCAGAAAGATTCTGAAGGGTTTCACACCTGCAAGCTCACCAGTTTATATTTCTCTCTTCTCACTGCTAGGTGGAAGAATCCTTGAGGCGGCTGAAGAATCCCTTACAATTGCGTCTTCCTATCGAAGAAATAAATAACAAACATTAATTTTTTTGATAATTATTAGCCTTTGTTGAATTGCCTCATAAGATTTGAAACTGGAGTATATTCTGGACTAACATAGTCCTTCTGTTTTTGAAGGGGTTTGGGTGTGAAGAAATCTACAAGGAACAGCTAAAACTGTTCCTGATAACAGAGATTTCTTTTTCATGTTTTACAAAGAAATTCAGACTCCCCATGTATATAGTTTGTTTCTTAATACTGTTCACAATAAAAAGAAACATGTAGCAGCTACTATTGAATTAATAATGCATACTTGATTGAAAGAAGAGACAAAAATGATTTTTTAAAATTTTTATTTTAATCTGGAACCCCTCTATTTGAATGTAACTTTATAATAAGGTAAATAAAAAATGCATTGCTGTTTTGGGCTTATTTTATTTTCTGAGTTAAGATCTGTTGTGCAAAAAAAAATTAAAAGCACCTCCTAAGTTTTCAGAAATCCTCACATGCACAAATAGTTTCAGAGTCTGTGGCTTTTTATAAACATATAAAGTTTCTTGTTGCATTTAAGATGCAAAGTCCACGGGGCACAACTCACCTGTACAAACAGCACCACCCCAAACATCAGGGGAGCATGTCCTAGCACCTATAGAACAATAGCTAATGGCCTGCAGTAGGTCAAGCCACTTAATAGTAATTATGAACTATAAATGGGATGCCTGGAACTCTTTTGACCATACCAGCCAGTTACATCAGTCAGTGGCAGTTGCACAACAGAGTCTGACAGTGTTCAGATGGTATTTGCCAGGCTAAAGTATGGGGCTGAGGTCAGATAATGGAAATGATCCTTACAAAAGCATTATTGTATGGGGGGGGGGAGAGAAATCTAAAGTTTCAAAATGAAGCTTTAAAACTCATGCACTTGAAAATAGTTAAGGATTATTAACTGCTTCTTTCTTGCTCAAATGTAAAAAGATTGACTTATTTTCCAAAATTCTCTGAGGTTCGGTAAGTATAATGTTGATTGCTAATCCAATAATTTCAAATGCAGTGCATAAAAAGTACTTTCAGTTTAGAAATGTTGAATTTTATGGAATGTTCAGCATTGTACAACTTCCTTTCAAATTTCTTTTTGCAGTTTTTCTAACAAGTTAAAAAAAAAGTCAGATTTTGAAATTATCTTACAATATTTACAATCACTTTTTTTTAAAAAAAGACCTTGCTGGTTGTAATTTGGGTACTTGGGTCTTCCATTATTGCTACAGTGGTACCTCGCAAGACAAATGCCTCGCAAGACAAAAAACTCGCTAGACGAAAGGGTTTTTTGTTTTTTTAGCTGCTTTGCAAGAAGATTTTCCCTATGGGCTTGCTTCGCAAGACGGAAACATTTTGCAAGTTTGTTTCCTTTTTCTTAACACCGTTAATACAGTTGCGACTTGACTTCGAGGAGCAACTCATAGAACGTGGTGTGGTAGCCTTTTTTGAGGTTTTTAAAGACTTTGGTGATTTTTGAAGCTTTTCCAAAACTTTCCCGACACCGTGCTTCGCAAGACGAAAAAAATCGCAAGACGACAAAACTCGCAGAACGAATTAATTTTGTCTTGCGAGGCACCACTATACTTTGTAGTTTTGCAAATCGTCTTAGTTGATCAAGAAAAACAAGGGTGATTTCTTAGGCAGACTAAAATAGTGCACACTGACAGTGCTTGACAGTGCAGTTCCAAACATCAGCTACGCAGAAGCAACCCCATTGAGTTCAGTTGGGATTACTCCCAGGTAAAAGGGTACAGGATTGCAGCCTGAATCTATTACCCCATATGTCAAGATTGTGGGTAGTTTGAGATAACCTCTTGTTACTGCTCCTCGGTGTTATTTTGATTTTGGGTAGAAATGTAGCTTCTTAGTCAACATTGATGCAAAGCAAGGAATCTGCTTTTTTCCTATAGCATTAAGATCTTTGCACACATCCACTCTGCGGTGAGCCACCTTCCTGTTAACCAGCGTCAGTAGTTCTGTGAACTCCAGGGAAGAACCATGTTTTCTTATCATCTCACACAGATCTTGAATGTACCAAGAGCCATTTACAGTCTCGCGATGAGAATAGTACCCTATTGCAAAAAGGGGGAAAGGGTATTAAGTCTTTGTCATATCTGCAGAAAAGCTTTAGATCTGAACCTACATTCAGTATTATTTTTTTAAACTAGCAAATAGTAATCTAAGAGATTATATTAAACCTAATTCCATGCTTTGGGAAAGCTGAAAATAATCACACACCCTGATCTAAAAACATGTTTCCTCTGTCATCAACTGAACTTTTTAAATAAATATGCTTAGGATTACAGCCTTAGTCGGTCCTGAGGGATATTCATTTGTGGAACAAGAATGATTAAGGGCTTAAAAATATTTTTTGCACTATTAATGAGTACACCTTGCAGCAAGAATCCCAGTGTCCAACTTCAACAGCAGAAGACAACTTCAACAGAGACAACAGGTGTGCATCCACTTTGGACAAAGCTTTAATCCCAAGGCAGATCCTTAAAAACTCTGAACTGAGGTAACTTACCTGAATCAGTCTAGTCTCACACTTCAGAGATACCTCTGAGCTACAGAGGGTGCTTTTGTTTTTTTACTTTCTCAAGCCAAATTTTTGAACCTTCCACAAGCAACTCCTATTAAAGGAAATGGGTGGTTTTTGCATACATTTTTTCTTATTGTAAATATAGCATGCAACCCTGCACATAGCAAGTAATACAAGTATACACAGAGACTAACTTCAAGAAAATTGCCTCTTCCTTTTGTAGATAACTGCTATTTCAAGGAATCAGCAGTTACAGACAGCCTGAGGGGGTGCATTTTACCTTCTGCAACCGAGTAACACATGAGGAAGTCTGCACCAGCAGGCAGTGTATATACGGCAGCAGCATCGACTTGTGTTTCATTGATTTCTGTTTTGCTATCCACTGTGTCACGGTGAAGGACTGGGTCGTCATGCCTATCTCCTCTGCATGCCTGTGGGAGGAGAAACGGTTGGAAACAAAGTCTCACAGCTGGACACCATTCTAACGCAGAACCCTTCCGAGTTCTGCCTTTGTTGACATACACTGAATATATACTTAAATATTTGGTTACGCTTTGCTGAGTCTTTTGGGAGGATGACTCAGCTTAGAAAGTGCAGCAAACACTGGGAAAAGGGTGTGTGTTTTTCACCTTGGAATTGAGTTCAGAAAGAAGCATGCTTTGTACTTCCTATCATATGCATAAACCAAGGCAATACTTAGAAAACCAAGGGCATAAAAGGTGTCTCTGTGATACCGAAGAGATTTCCATAGACACATGAAGTTCTGTCTACCCCGAACTGAGGGCAGAAACTGCAAGATGCAGCAAATAACTGAGCCATTGCCTATTCAGTTGGAGGAGGGGGTTTTGTGTTTCCATTTTTTTCTTTTTCTGTATTGTTTCCAATAAAATACGCAACTGTCTCCTCCTGCCTTCCCTAGCCTGGTGGTGACCTGGCTGGTACTGGTGGGAATTCCAGCCCAAAACACCTGGAGGGAATCATGTTGTGGTTTAATTCACGAGCTCCACTTTCTCACCTGAATTATAAATACTTTCGGCTTCCCAACTAGGCTTGGGCATTTGTCTCCTCTGAACATCTTGGTCAATTCCTGTATCTTTATTTTAGCATCGTAGGCATAAACGTGATCATCTTCTCCATGGCTCAGGAAAATGCACACGAAGCAGTCTGCATCTTCATGCTGGTCTGTGGACACTGCGAAACAATGCCGTTGAGAAACGTTATTTTAAAAGCAATGGTTGGTAAAGTAGTGATGAACAAAGTACCTGGGGTCATTTTGGAGCTGAGCTCAGCAAACCCAAGCTATCCCCACCCCTAAAAAAGGGAAAATAGCTCATGTTCTTTTATACCAAGATGGATTGAAAATGTGAGCCATAGTTTGCTCTCAATTGTATCACTGGATCAATCTGCCGTACCCAGCACCTTTGCCAAATTCCTCATGAGGCCCTCAATCCTGCACAGCTGCCCTTTTGTATTCCTATTAAACCTCAAAACTAGAGGTTTTTGACAGGAGCATTGTTCAGAATGAAAGGGACATGGGCCTTGTTGCCTCCACCAGGCCAGATTGATGATCTAGAATCCATACTAGGGACTCGGGTACCCAAAAAGCTACTGCTTGGGCTATTGCTGTATCTGGATTCAAGGTAAGGAAAGGAGGCTCCTTACAGGCAGAGACAATTAAGAACTATGGGTGGGGCAAATAGTGCTTTCTTCATAGTGCTGGTGAGTACTATGAATGGAACAAGTTCTTATTTAGAGTTGGGTGACTTAATTGGAAAGCCTATTAAACTACTTCTAGTACCTTAGGCTGCAATCCTAACCCCACTTTCCTGGGAGTAAGCCCCACCGAATTCACTATGACTTACTTCTAAGTAGACATGATGAGACTGTGCTGCAAGTCTCATCACAATTTTGCTAGAGCCTACTTGGTGCATTTTGGCTGTTCTGGAACTGCAGTTCAAAACCAGCTTTGTTTCAGACTTGATAACACTGCTGCAAGTTTCCAGATTTAAGTCAACCACAGCAGCAGGTTTCATTCATTAAATATAAAACACGCTCCTTTACATTGTTGGAAGGCTATCTAGTTCAACGTCCTGCTGTGCTGGAATACACTACTAGAGCATCCCTGATGTTGGTCATTCAGTCCCACTGTGTAGTGGAGAGTAAGTCCTCCACTATCACAACACATTCTTCCACCTTTCTTCCTAATGGTGCAACAGAAAACATGAGTGTTTCCATCCTAGTGGCAGCCCTTCAAATATTTGGCCATCATATCTGCTCTTGGGACGCTGGTGGCGCTGTGAGTTAAACCACAGAGCCTAGGACTTGCTGATCAGAAGCTCGGCAGTTCGAATCCGCGCGATGGGGTGAGCTCCCGTTGCTTGGT